TTTATCAAGACATTTTGCAGCAAAACGTACGACCATCTGTCCGCCAACTGAAGCTCTGCTGAGGATGGGTGATGCAACAGGACAATGACCCAAAGCATACAAGTAATTCAACAAAACAATGGTTGCAACAGCACAGAATACACCTTCTGGAGTGGCCCAGTCAGAGTCCTGACCTCAACCCGATTGAAATGCTGTGGCATGACCTTAAGAGAACGATTCACACCAGACATCCCAAGAATATTGCTACACTGAAACAGTTTTGTGAAGAGGAGTGGTCCAAAATTACTCCAGATCATTGTGCAGGTCTGATCTGCAACTACAGGAAACGTTTGGTTGAGGTTATTGCTGCCAAAGGAGGGTCAACCAGTTATTAAGTCCAAAGGTTCGCATACTTTTTCCACCCTGCACTGTGAATGTTTACATGTTATGTACACATAAACCATGGCAACATCTAATGTTTGTGTAGTATTATGTTCAGCAGACTGTGTTCTTCTATTGTTGTGACTTAGATGACGTCCAGAGCACATTTTATGCCCAATTCATGCAAAACTCCACGTAATCCCAAGGGGTTCACATACTTTTTCTTGCAACTGTATATTAAAGTCATTAGTTTAGAATTATTATTATTATACAGGATTTATATAGCGCCAACAGTTTGTGCAGTGCTTTACAAAATGAAGGTAGACATTACAGGTACAATACAAAAGGAAACAGAGAGTCCTGCTCGTTAGAGCTTATATACCCAATATAATTTTAAGCTGATGTTTTATATTTGTTTTTTACTATTTAGGTTTACTATTTAACTTTTTTAATTGTACAATTTATTTATTTAATGCAGGGTGTACCCATGTCATAGTATTCATGTGTTCTTAACAAGGGAAATCACAACAGCAGCTGTTTGCTTCAGGCTCCATCTCTTTAACTGAAACCTTGGATGGAGCCATTACACACAGCAAGAGGGAGAAGGACGGGTCACTGCTTTGACTCACTTTTAGCTCGAGTTACTGAGTTCTGTAAACTGCAGATTGTTTTTTTTTTTAGCAAAACAGATAGAGGTGTAGGAGATGTGGAAGGAGCCTAACACTGATATGTAAGTCTCATATTTACCCAGTCAAAAAAAAATATTTTTTATCTTGACCAAAACACGTTGAAAATGTACAAAATAACTGTGCATTACCTTTAAGACTGGAACGATCCAGTTATTTTAAAAAGAGGGCAAATTTATATCTTGGCTTACTAGCCAGCCACTGATGTGTTTGCATCTCTCCCTGACTTTACATGTCACGAATCACATGTAGGAACATATTCTTTAAGGTTGGTGTGCAGAAAGGTTGCTGGAACACAGCAACCAATTAGGATTTAAAGCCAGTTGTTAAATTAACAGTGGTTTCCTCGGTTACTTCCTATAGACCTTCCACCTTGAATGCTTGTACTGTATATTTGGTAGAAGGTCTTTCATTATAATTAATAAGTTCAACACTTGGAAGCAGGGCAGTCATCAGAAATTTTGTGGCCCCTTACACAGCTTTAGGCCTAGAGCCCCCTGGACCTGACTGCCAACATTCCTTAGGGCCCGCCCACTGGCTGTCCCACCGAATCCATCCACTGGCTATTCCACCAAGTCCTTCAGTGCACCCACTTTTATTTTAACACCCTTACAACTTAATATATCCTCCAACCCATATCCTTGCCCTCCTACTCTAGTCCCATCTCTTCATTATCTCCAGTCTCACTCCCTCATCCCATGTCCTCCTCCTCCATCCCATGTCCTCTTCCTCTTCCAGTCCCATCTCCTCTATCCCATTTCCTACTCCAGTCCCATCTCCCCATCCCATATCCTCCTCTTCCAGTTTAACCTCCCTCATCCCACGTCCTCTTCTTCCAGTCTCATCTACCCCATCACATGTTGTCCTCCTCCTGGGCCTCCCCATCACATGTCCTCCTTCATTCCATTCCACATCATACTCCATTCTGTGTCCTCCTTCTACTCCATTTTATGTCATCGTCATCCTCCTCCATTCCATGTCCTTCTCCTCCTCCATGCCATGTCCTCCTCCTCCATTCTATGTCCTCCTTCTCCAGTCTCATCTCCCCGGTATGTTGGTCCTCAGTCACAGTGTCTCCACTCTGTAGTCCTACCTTCCCTCCTGCACCCTCATTACAGCCTTGAACCAGGTGATGTACCTTAGTGTACGGTCCCTCCTCGGTCCCAGGACTCAGCTCTCTTTCTCCAGACACATAGCTTTAAGGGATCACATTTCCAAACTCAAACTTCCCACTGAAAATCTCTCACCCCACTGGGGTCTATTGGCCTGACTCATCAAAGGGGGTGGGTCCGCATGGCACACTATGCACCCGCGATTGGACAGACTGTTGTGGAGGTGGAGAATTGTGGTGGGGGGGGATGTTGGAGAGGGCCAGGAGAGAGGCAGAGCGGTAGGGGAAGGTGCAGCAGCTGGAAGAGAGAGCAGACAGGGCTGTTGCTGTACCTGCAGCTCTTATTTTCATGACTCAGAGTGGAATCTTGGGATCTTGGGAACAGCTTAATCAAAATTGTGGCAACTATGCAGGCAGCGCAGGTTCAACAATGACTGGGTGTCAGGAATGGACTGGCCAGCAATGGTGGGACTCACCTGCCTTATGGGCTGCAGTACCAGGGCTGGCCAGCGGGTGCTCCCAGCAATCAGAGACTCAACCTTGCAGTCAGCCAAACACCTGAAACTGCTTATGCTGGTGTATTTAAGGGATGGCCAGACCTGCAGACTCTGCCTTGGTGTGTGTTTCTCCTGGGCCCTGTATCCTGTTCCTGCAACCCTGTTCCTGTTCCTGTCTGATTCGTTGCTGACCCTGCTCTGATCCCTGGCTTGTCTGACCATTCTCCTGCTCTGATCCCTGGCTTGTCTGACCATTCTCCTGCTCTGATCCCTGGCTTTGTCTGACCATTCTCCTGCTCTGATCCCTGGCTTTGTCTGACCATTCTCCTGCTCTGATCCCTGGCTTTGTCTGACCATTCTCCTGCTCTGATCCCTGGCTTTGTCTGACCATTCTCCTGCTCTGATCCCTGGCTTTGTCTGACCATTCTCCTGCTCTGATCCCTGGCTTTGTCTGACCATTCTCCTGCTCTGATCCCTGGCTTTGTCTGACCATTCTCCTGCTCTGATCCCTGGCTTTGTCTGACCATTCTCCTGCTTTACCCCATACGTTCTGACCTCCTGTTTATGATCCGGCCTGCCTGACGACGCTTGCATTGTATGTTTATCTGTGGGTGGTTTGGTTTGGTTCGTTTGCACTGTGTTATGTTTTAGTATTGCACTGCGTTTATGTTTGTATTGTTAGTCTTTAATAAATTATATTGTTTATAACTTATCTGAAGCCTGCGTTTCCCTGCGTCAGTCACATACCTCTGGTCATACCCTGGAGCCCTGACATTACACCAAGGCCAATCCTGACCAGAAGTGGCTGCACAGGGAAGCCATCTTGGTTTGTTGATGGGAAGGATGGATCTTGATGAGGTTGTGTATTTATATCTGCTAGTGTTTGATGACAGAGAATATGCTTATCAAACTCTGAGTATCCCCGGGATGAACTGCTAGAAGGTATACGTCTCGCTCATGTTCTAGTAGATCAGGGCACAGAATTCTCTGAGGTGCAGCCATTGATTCAGATTTGTGCGGAGTTGGTTTCATCTGGTACCCCCGCATGCAGGGATGAATTTTTGCCGCCATTTAGTGCCGACCAGGTAGAGTCCCTGGTGTGGTTATTAGAGGATGATGTGGATTACTTTCTGGAGCATTATTCTGCATGTTCACCACAGATACTAAGAGATTGTATAAAACGCAGTGCAGTCATTGACCAGACAGGCTTTGTGTAAGCTGAGCTTTGTTCAACCCATACTGCAGACATGGACAGATTTGTTGCACCCAGCCTCAGTCAGCCTACAAAAACCCAGTCCTGCTTCTAATCTATTTCCTCAAAGCTCTATTCCTGCATTCCCAACAGCTCCTCCTGCCCTGCTATCTACCGCATGTCAGTACCCTGTTCCCACTCGCTGCACCTATCCTGCCTTTAACCCTGTAAAGAAGTCCTCTGTAGTAACTGTTCACTCCCCTGTTCCATCCTCCAGCTCTTCTCTGTCCAGCTGCTCCATTCGTTTGCAGACCTGCATTTACTTGCAGTGCCCCAGTAGTTAAAACCAGAAAAAAGCGAAAATTCTTTCCAACCAGTACCATCCTGCCAGTATCCAAACCGGTCAGCCTGCCGTCTGAGAACCGGCCTTCCGTGGTTCAGCCTGGTGCCTCGGCACCCGCACTTCAGCCTGAGGTCTGTACCCAGCCTGATGCCTGTACCCAGCCTGATGCCTGTACCCAGCCTGATGCCTCTACTCAGCCTGATGCCTCTACTCAGCCTGATGCCTCTACCCAGCATGATGTTTCTACCCAGCCTGATGAACTGATCCAGCCTGACGATCCAATGCCTGGTGACCCGGTGCCCACTGCCTTGCCAGATGACGCGGTGCCCGCTGGCAAGCCAAATGACCTGATGCCTGGTGACCCAGTGCCCGCTGTCATACCTGGTGACCCGATGCCCGCTGTCGAGCCAGACAATCCGGTACCTGATGACCCGGTGCCCGCTGCCGTGCCAATTGACTCAGAGCCCACTGTCGTGCCTGGTGACTTGGTGCCCACTGCCTTGCCAGATAACGCGGTGCCCGCTGGCAAGCCAAGTGACCTGATGCCTGGTGACCCAGTGCCCGCTGTCATGCCTGGTGACCCGATGCCCGCTGTCGAGCCAGACAATCCGGTACTTGATGACCCGGTGCCCGCTGTCGTGCCAATTGACTGAGAGCCCACTGTCGTGCCTGGTGACTTGGTGCCCACTGCCTTGCCAGATGACGCGGTGCCCACTGTTGAGCAAAATGACCTGATGCCTGGTGACCCGATGCCCACTGTCCAGCCAGACGATCCAATGTCTGACCCAGTGCCCGCGGTCATGCCAGTTGACTCGGAGCCCACTGCCTTGCCAGATGACGCGGTGCCCGCTGTCGAGCCAAATGACCTGATGCCTGGTGACTCGATGCCCGCTGTCCAGCCAGACGATCCAATGTCTGACCCAGTGCCCGCGGTCATGCCAGTTGACTCGAGCCCACTGCCTTGCCAGATGACGCGGTGCCCGCTGTCGAGCCAAATGACCTGATGCCTGGTGACCCGATGCCCGCTGTCCAGCCAGACGATCCATTGTCTGACCCAGTGCCGGCGGTCATGCCAGTTGACTCGGAGCCAACTGTCGTGCCTGGTGACTCGGTGCCTGTCGCTCCGCCTGGGGGTCCGGCGCCCGCCGCTCCGCCTGGGGGCCTGAGACCTGTCGCTCCGCCTGGGGGTCCGGCACCTGCCGCTCCGCCTGGGGGCCCGAGACCTGTCGCTCCGCCTGGGGGTCCGGCGCCCGCCGCTCCGCCAGGGGGCCCGAGACCTGTCGCTCTGCCTGGGGGTCCGGCGCCCGCCGCTCCGCCTGGGGGCCCGAGACCTGCCGCTCCGCCTAGGGGTCCGGCGCCCGCCGCTCCGCCTGGGGGCCCGAGACCTGTCGCTCCGCCTGGGGGTCCGGCGCCCGTCGCTCCGCCTGGGGTCCGGCGCCCGCCGCTCCGCCTGGGGGCCCGGTGCCTGCTGCTCCGCCTGGGGGCCCGGTGCCTGCTCCGACTGGGGGCACGGTGCCTGCTGCTCCACCTGGGGGCCCGGTGCCTGCTGCTTCGCCTGGTGATCCGATGTGCCTCTGCCCGGAGTCCAGCCCGATGTGCCTCTGCCCGGAGTCCAGCCCTGTGTGCCTCTGCCCGGAGTCCTACCCGATGTGCCGCTGCCCGGAGTCCTGCCCGGTGTGCCAGTCTTTGATATCCCGCCAGTTTACCAGACCGGGCGGTGGAACATTTTGCCCAGCTAGGACTGTTTGGAGCGTCCTGAGGCCGCTCCTTGAGGGCGGGATACTGTCAGGAATGGACTGGCCAGCAATGGTGGGACTCACCTGCCTTATGGGCTGCAGTACCAGGGCTGGCCAGCGGGTGCTCCCAGCAATCAGAGACTCAACCTTGCAGCCAGCCAAACACCTGAAACTGCTTATGCTGGTGTATTTAAGGGATGGCCAGACCTGCAGACTCTGCCTTGGTGTGTGTTTCTCCTGGGCCCTGTATCCTGTTCCTGCAACCCTGTTCCTGTTCCTGTTCCTGTCTGATTCGTTGCTGACCCTGCTCTGATCCCTGGCTTGTCTGACCATTCTCCTGCTCTGATCCCTGGCTTGTCTGACAATTCTCCTGCTCTGATCCCTGGCTTTGTCTGACCATTCTCCTGCTCTGATCCCTGGCTTTGTCTGACCATTCTCCTGCTCTGATCCCTGGCTTTGTCTGACCATTCTCCTGCTCTGATCCCTGGCTTTGTCTGACCATTCTCCTGCTCTGATCCCTGCTTTGTCTGACCATTCTCCTGCTCTGATCCCTGGCTTTGTCTGACCATTCTCCTGCTCTGATCCCTGGCTTTGTCTGACCATTCTCCTGCTTTACCCCATACGTTCTGACCTCCTGTTTATGATCCGGCCTGCCTGACGACGCTTGCATTGTATGTTTTGTGGGTGGTTTGGTTTGGTTCGTTTGCACTGTGTTATGTTTTAGTATTGCACTGCGTTTATGTTTGTATTGTTAGTCTTTATAAATTATATTGTTTATAACTTATCTGAAGCCTGCGTTTCCCTGCGTCAGTCACATACCTCTGGTCATACCCTGGAGCCCTGACACTGGGCCTGGGGCAGCTTCCTCTTTTGCTCCATGTTAAATATGGCCCTGATTGGGGCCCAGCCCCCCTACATATGTATGGACTGTCCCCCTTCGATGGCAGACCTGCTTGGAAGCATACAGATACAGCAGTAAAAGCAGAGTAGGATGACTACTGAAATGTATTGCTAATCATATGAAGTTTTGTAAGACGATGCTGGACCAGTCAGTGAATAATAGATCCCACTGGCCAATTTGGATTGACCAAGGGCTGTTCACAAGCGGAGAAGTTACTTTGGATATACTGTATGTCATATAGCCAAGGCTTTGGAGCTATGCAGGGTTCCCTTCCTCAAAGTGTCACAGACCATGACCATGTCCAACTTCACCTGACTTTCAGCTGAAATCTGGAAGAGGAAACAAATGGTGTTTATTGAAATAGCCAATACATTAGGAGAAATTCACACTATCTATTGGAACAGAAATTGAGGGGAAGTCTTCCAATTGACAGCGACAACAGTCTAAGAGCGGATTTTAGAGAGCTTTTCGATAACTTCCTAATGTGTCTATGAAACAAGAAGTGAAGCTTGTTCACACCAGTGGGACACAGATTGCAAACCTGATTTCTTTTGAAAATGAAAAAAAAATTTGCTTTAGATACTACTTAGGACCAGGGCTAGACTATTTTGTGCCCTAGGCAAGACCAACTACTTGCACCCCACCCCAAAAAAAAATAAAAATAAATTCAACATTTCAAAAACAGTAGAGAATAATAAATCAACAAAACATGAAACTGCTAAATTTCCATAAGATGCCAGCAGCACCAATATTAACCCCTTCACGCCAACGTAACACAAATAAGCAGCCTCACAGAACTGGGCTTTTTTCCATGGGGCCGCATATTTGCGTAACTGTCTTTGTGCTGGGAATGTGCCACACAGTGTGCTCCCAGAACATAGACTGTGGTGTCACTAAGAGCCCCAGGTCCCGTTCTAATGATCGGGACCCAGGACTCCCGATTCCAGGTCACATGATCGCTGTGATAGCCTCTGATCAGTCACTGTACAGCCCCCCCCCTTATTTTTCTTTCTCTGAATGGAGGAGAGAGATACATTGTATGCCTCTCCTTGCATAAAGAAAAAAAACAAAACTGTTTGTTAAAAAAAAAATTAAATAAATACATATTTAAAAAATAAAAGAAAAAATAAAGAAAAAAATACCTAGATCAAGGTTTTATCTAGTTCAGTGCCAGGGTTAGTAATTGGGTCAAGGGCAGGGTCAAATGTCAAGGTCAAAGGTCAGAGTCAAAAGTCAGAATTTTTTTTTTTAAATTGGCATCAGTGTCAGTTAGTGTCAGTGTCAGTGTGTTTTAGGTAAAAGAAAAACAAAATGAGCACTATTGCTTCTGGGCTGTACTGTGGGTACAAACAACAAATAACATACACATATAAGGTATCGCTGCGATCGCCAAGAGCTGGAAAATTTAATTTGGGTTGTTCTTTGGTGCTAGGTTATGGCAGTAGCAAAAAACACACAGCAAATATGATTTTTTTTTACTATTTTGGCCAGTTTTCCTTTGATAATAAAAAAAATAAGGAGATATCCATTACCATTTACCACCAACTGAAAGCTCAATTTGTCCTAACAAAAGACAAAATATATATTAACCAAATATAAATTATAATTAACCAATCAGACAGAGAAACTAAAAAAAAAAAAAAAAAAAAAAAAAAAAAAAGAGACTGAGTTACAGAACTCCACAATGATCAGCACCCGCCAGCCAGCTTGCAGTAAGAGACTAAGTCTGAGAGGAACACTGGAAGGAGTGGCAGCTCAGCTGCTACACTGGCCCCAGACGCCCGGCATCTTCCTCTGTCCTTTCTTTCTCCCTCTGCAGCCCTTCCCCTCAGCTGAAGGATCATTCATTATGTAGCGTTGTCCCACACAAATAGTCAGCATCTGCTCCCCTCACCCCGACCATTGTCTGCCCCCCTCCTCCTCCTGTCACCTCCATGACCCGTTATCCTCCTAGGCTCGGCTCACCTCTGATGTCTCCTGATGGGGTGCGGAGTCCAGGCTTTCGCTCTCAGTAAGGACAGATGGCCTCCTAGCACTACACCGTTTCCCTCTCATACACATCGGGCCCCGATCATCCTATTCACAAAACCTGTTAACCCTGCAACCAGAGCACACCACTACCTATTTATTGGCTCCCAATATGTAGAAGGAGGAGCCAGCGTTGGACATGCCCCACTCAGTCACTAGCCAGATCCCTGTTACAGCTGGAGGATCTTGTGTGCCAGTGTGTGTACCAGAGATGTACGGACCGAACCTCCTATCAGAGACTGCTGACCACCCGGGGTCCTGGGCTAATGTCATCATTTCCCATCCTAGGGGGAGATGACACTTCATTGCTACATGGAATACTGATTTATATATACAGTCATGGCCGAAATTGTTGGCACCCTTGATATTTCTCCAGGAAATCATGTATTTCTCACGAAACGTATTGCATTAACACATGTTTTGCTATACACATGTTTATTCCCTTTGTGTGTATTGGGACAAAACAAAAAAAGGGAGGAAAGAAAGCAAATTCGACATAATGTCACACAAACCTCCAAAAATGGGCTGGACAAAAGTATTGGCACCCTTTCACAACTGCGGATAAATAAGAATGTTACAAGCATGTGATGCTCCTGTAAACTCACCTGGGGCAAGTAACAGGTGTGGGCAATATAGAAATCACACCTGAAAGCAGATAAAAAGGAGAGACGTTCACTTAACCTTTGCATTGTGTGTCTGTCTGTGCCACACTAAGCATGGACAACAGAAAGAGGAGACGAGAACTGTCTGAGGACCTGAGAACCAAAATTGTGGCAAAATATCAACAATCTCAAGGTTACAAGTCCATCTCCAGAGAACTAGATTTGCCTTTGTCCACAGTGCGCAACATTATCAAGAAGTTTGCAACCCATGGCACTGTAGCTAATCTCCCTGGTCGTGGACGGATGAGGAAAATTGATGAAAGATTGCAACGCAGAATAGTCCGGATGGTGGATAAGCAGCCCCAAACATGTTCCAAAGACATTCAAGCTGTCCTGCAGGCTCAGGGAGCATCAGTGTCAGCGCGAACTATCCGTCGACATTTAAATGAAATGAAACGCTATGGCAGGAGACCCAGGAGGACCCCACTGCTGACACAGAGACATAAAAAAGCAAGACTACAGTTTGCCAAAATGTACTTGAGTAAGCCAAAAGCCTTCTGGGAAAACGTCTTGTGGACAGATGAGACCAAGATAGAGCTTTTCGGTAAAGCACATCATTCTACTGTTTACCGAAAACGGAATGAGGCCTACAAAGAACAAAACACAGTACCTACGGTAAAATATGGTGGAGGTTCAATGATGTTTTGGGGTTGTTTTGCTGCCTCTGGCACTGGGTGCCTTGACTGTGTGCAAGGCATCATGAAATCTGAGGATTACCAAAGGATTTTGGGTCGCACTGTAGGGCCCAGTGTCAGAAAGCTGGGTTTGCGTCCAAGATCCTGGGTCTTCCAGCAGGACAATGACCCCAAACATACGTCAAAAAGCACTCAGAAATGGATGGCAAAGAAGCGCTGGAGAGTTCTGAAGTGGCCAGCAATGAGCCCAGATCTAAATCCCATTGAACACCTGTGGAGAGATCTTAAAATTGCTGTTGGGAAAAGGTGTCCTTCCAATAAGAGAGACCTGGAGCTGTTTGCAAAGGAAGAGTGGTCCAAAATTCCGGGTGAGAGGTGTCAGAAGCTTATTGATGGTTATAGGAAGCGACTGATTTCAGTTATGTTTTCCAAAGGGTGTGCAACCAAATATTAAGTTAAGGGTGCCAATACTTTTGTCCAGCCCATTTTTGGGGTTTTGTGTGACATTATGTCATATTTGCTTTTCTGCCTCTGTTTTATATTTGTTCCAATACATACAAAGGGAATAAACATGTGTATAGCAAAACATGTGTTAATGCAATACCTTTTTTGTGTGAAATACTTGATTTTCAGGAAAAATATCAAGGGTGCCAACAATTTCGGCCATGACTGTATATATATATATATATATATGTACTAAATGGTCCTGTGTGTGGACAGGCTGAGACAATTGTGCAGAGTAAAGATACCATCTATCCCTCGTCATTTTATGTGTATGAGGAAAGGGGAACTCTGTAGAAAAATTAAGAATTTTTACAAGAGGTCCATAGGCCACACAGAGAAAGGGCTGGCCTAGGCAGCTGCCTAGTTTGCCTAGTGGAAGCACCGGCCTTGCTTATGACAGAATACGTTTGTTCACTCACATCTGATTCTCTTTAAACAAAAGAATGACTAAAGTAACAGTAAACAGTATTATCGAATTATCAGCGAAGGACTGAAACTCAGGACAGTGACTCTTCCATGAACTAATCACTTTCATCTTACTGTCTGTATGAAGAACTTAAAATAGACCTGTACGGTTCCACATTTGTATTTTTTTACTTTTTAGTTTTAAATTGTTTTATATAATAACAGTTTATTCATTTCTCAAGATATAAGTACATGCATGGTACTTTGTGGTACAGGAGATGAATAAGGGAATAGCTATCAGAGGAGACAGTACGAACTATTTTATAATATTTTATTCACCTCTAAGAAGACTTGACAAAGCTCTTCTATAGATGAAAATAGACCCTACCACTCTTCTCAGCTTGTGGAGATATCTTTTAATAGGATTGCTCACCATAAAATACCTATAGGCCTGTACCTAGGTCCACTTTAATTAGTTATATACAGACCAGCTGGTATGACATTATCTGAACGAAATATTAGAATATCTTAAAGATGCTTTTCTTTTTCAGACCGATAACAAAGGCTGTTTTTCTGAAGTGGTAAAGACAAAACCTTTCCAGTTAAGGCGTACTGGCTATGAAAGGAAACTCACTGCTACCGCCAAGATAACTGAAGATGGAACAGGTAATAGGAGGCAACATGGAAAAACAATAGCTAGGACAAAGGGCCAACTGATATGCTAACAAAGTCATCTCTATTAGGTGTGGAAATGTCTGGTGAGGCCTCCTCTGATATAAAAAACACAATCAAAAAAGTGTCGTTCCGACAGCTGGACACCCGCTTTAAGAGAAGCATGCCCTTGTATGGACAGGTGAGCTAAGATAAAGCAAAATGTCAAACTGCTCAGCAGATATACTGATAACCCAACATAAAGTGTAGCAGGGAGATAAGCACTTACTAGAAGTAAAATTCTTAGGACTTGTTTCGGTTAGTCAAGGAAAAACAGTGGTGACTAATATGGGGGTTGATTTTGCTTCCCTCTGAAAACACTAGTTGCCTGGCTATTTTCTGTCATCGAAGCCCAGAACTATTGATCTTCATATTTCTTGTATAGACCATTCCACTTGCATTGAGATCAGTTTGAGACACTTCTAAAATCAGTCAGAGTTTATTGGCAGGGACATTTGACCAGCAGTTTGTGGAGATGTGCAGCTTTGTGCGGTGGCAGCAAAGACACAGAGTCTACTTGGAGTAAAACTTGGAACTTGTGTTGAAGAGAATGCCAAACTACAAACACCCCTGCGGGACAGAGCCGCTTGGGAGAAACACCCCCAGTTCGGGCAGCAGAATGACATGCAATGACAGCGAATGTTTCAGAGGGAAGAGTGTGGCCTAGGCGGTTCAGTCCCAAAGGGGAGGCTTCCTTGAGGATAGCGAATCCTTAGCCTGTCTCTACTTGTCAGGAACCTTTCCCTGTCAGATGGTGTCTCTTTCCCTACTCTACCCACTTCGCAAAAAAATGTGTGCCAAAACTCGGGGGCACGGACTTATAAAGACCCTGCTGACCCAAGATGACCACCAGGGGGTCACAAAGATGCAGTGTAGCCAACCGGGAACGCTGATCCATGACCCAGGAAACCACAGAGAAACCAGTTTTCCCTTAAAGTGGCTGTAAACCTCATTCATGAAATATGAACAAAACATATCCCTCTACAGTGTGTACTTATCTCAATCCAGAGCACTAAGTGTAATTTATGTCTGCTGCCTTATTCCTCTGCTATATGCACAAAATACTTCTGACAAGTTTTCCTGACACCAAGAGAAAAATGGTGACGGGGAGGGACCTCCAGCAGATTGACAGCCTCGGCTCTGTTCCTGTGTGCTGTGTGAAGGGGGTATTCCTTCCCTCCAATCAACTCTCAGAGCTCTTGTATAGTTTGTAACTGCAGCTCTCTGCCCCCTGCTTTTCATTGCTGAGAGATTCTATGTAAATTCTGGACTTTGAGTGGATGTACAGGACATACCCACATGGAGAAAAAATATACTTGAAATGTATTTTAAAAAAAATATTCCCAAATATATTGACATATATTTGAAATACTACAATTTTGGCCATATTCAATATATTTATAAAAAAAATATATATATATATATACGGTATATATATATATATATATATATATATATATATACAGTGGGGCAAAAAAGTATTTAGTCAGCCACCAATTGTGCAAGTTCTCCCACTTAAAAAAATGAGAGAGGGCCTGTAATTGGCATCATATTTAAAAAAACATTTTTCATATATTTTGCAATATATAAAAAAAGCATTTCAACATACAGTATATATATATATATATATATATAATTTTTTTTTTTAATATATTGAATATGGCCAAAATTGTAGTATTTCAAATATATGTCAATATATTTGGGAAGAGTATTTTTAATATATTTCAAATATATTTTTCTTCCATATGGGTATATACTGTAGCTTTAGATAAACAGGTATAACTTACTGTATGTAGGAGAATGTGTTTCATCTCTGTGTATTATTACTTGGGGCTAATCACGTCACTGGGTATATGTAAGGGTTTACAACCACTTTAACTTCCACTCCAGACTGTAGTGCCACTCAGTTGAAGTCACCTACAGCGGAGAAACTGCACCTGCCTACAAGTTGACCTTTTTCTGAGCTGCATTTGCATTACTATTGATTCGTATAGAAAAAGAAGCACATTCTGATGAGAAAAGGCCTTTGGAAAATTGCAGCTATCCACTGTCCCATGATGCCAATGTCATAGAATTTTCTTTTGAATTACTTGGGCTGTCTAGCACTTGTTGCCTGCTACTTCCATAATTGCTGTATAAAAATATCTCTCACTTTTCACAGATCTTCCTAGAAGATGCTGCAGGAGAGCCTATTTCCAATGAGACGGTGGTATTGTATATTGGTTTCGATGGATCAAACCACACCTACACCACAGGGCCCGATGGAACAGCAGACTTCTCTATTGATACCACAACATTCTATCAGAATTCCATAACACTAACGGTGAGAACAAGCTGGGACACAGCCTTGGAATATTTGCTCTGAAATTAAAAATGAGATCCCTATTAAAAAAAAAAAAAAATTCGTTGTGACAAGATGATAAATTATGATTACAGATTGACAGTGTCAATTTGGTGCTAGAAGTCAATTTAGAATGTTTAGAGATACTCATTTTTTTTGTAGTTAATGTTTCTCTAGGCAGAGGAGAACACAAAAAAGCCACGAGGGTGCTGGCTGTATTCTAGTAGGGTTAAAGTGCGCTAATAATAATAATGTATAATAATATTAATAATAATATCCACACTATGAACTTTACACATTCTTTACACATTTTATACATGAAATTTACACATTCTTTGCTAGCAGTGAAACAGGTTTATAAGAAGCAATTCCTGCCCTCTTTAGATGTTTTTAATAATATAAAACTATTCTCAAAAATCCTCAAAGATAAAACACCTGCTGTTTGTTTACATAGGAAAGCCGGGGAGCTGCTAGGATTTCGGTGCAAAAGAAAGTTATAGGGAAAAAAAAAGATATTAGTGCCTCTGTTGTGAACTTGGAAGATGGATTTCTTTATAATGCCTACAGCTACAAAAGTAAATGAGGGCTTCTTTTGAAGTGCATGTACTTGTTCAGGTTATAACATACTGCAGTGTGTATGATGTGCCCACATGGAAGAAAAATATATTTGAAATATATATATTTGGTTTTTTTTATTGAAATATATTTTGAAATATATTGAATATGGCCAAAATTGTAGCATTTCAAATATATATTAATATATTTGGGAAGAATATTTTTAGATATATTTCAGATATATTTTTCTTCCATATGGGTGTGCACAGGTGACTTTAAGGGCTCATTCAGACGGTGCATAAGGGACATAAGCCACCAGCAATTCACAGGTAGTACAGTTCTTTGCAATCAGCCACAGCCAGCAGCTTGTACAAATCAGTGAAAAGCACTTTGGCTGTTTGCATGTATTTGCTCACTGAGCGATTTTGCTGCAGTTTGCAGCATCCGTCAGTCTGTCATTCATCTGTACAGATGGCTGATCCGAAACAACTGTACTACCTTATTGGCCTACTGGTAGCAGGCTGTTCATTTCACAATGCAGTGACTAAGGGTCTAGGGATGGGCTGAACAAATTTCACGGCAAAAATTATTTTGCTGAAACAAAAACTCTTGGCTGCACTCATTATGCTGCTTGGGTGATTTTTGCAATTTGCTTAAAAAAGGAAAAAGTAACATACTCTCTGTTTCGTTATTTAGAAGGTTTTTTTTTTTGGTTTTTTTTTTTTACGAAGATAGGGGCTAGTATATTTTATTTAGTATTCTTTGTATTTGTGTTTTTTACCCTTTCCTTTTTTTTTTCTTTTTTAAATATTTGATAGCTATTTGAGTACCAGGATCTATGAATGGAGGATGAGTGGATGATGGAAAAGTCTGCCCCCTCCATTGATAGCTGTGAATGCAGAGTGTTCTGCGCATGCACCAGTGAGGTTATTGGCCTCAGACGATATGAATATCTACTAAATGGTGCAGGTTTAGAACATTTCCAAGGCACCTACAGGTAAGATTTATGATAAGATTATCTTTACAAAGTTAAAAAGCAGGGTTTTATGCATACTAAACAAGAGCAGCCGCCACGTGTTTTAAAGGAAATTGTTCTCTGTATCTTCATTTTATCTGCTGTAACAATTTTGATCTTTAGGAAATGTCTGTGACGCTCACAGCCATACAGACAGTAATGTAACAGAATTTTAAATATTTCAGCAATATGAATGAAGGATGAATGGGGGTAAATGAATGGTCCGCCACCTCTTTTTATTGAAGGAAGCTATAGTAGAGCTTCCATGAATATAGGAGGTGGTCGGAAAGGGCAAGCATAGTCAGCACTCTTGATGAGTGCTTATGACAGGTTACTTCAGATTTCCACAGTCACAAGCACAATGGAGACTTCTCATTGAATGTAAGTACCATGCTGTGTACTGTTCAACAAAACACTGAACTTAGGCTTTAAGAGATATGCTGTTAATGGGTTTAACAATCTGGGTGCTGTCAAGGTTGCTATGTCTGGAATGTTGTAATGTGATTCATGACAGCCTGCTTTGTGTCTGAAGATTAGTGTTGAATCTGATGATTTTGTCACTGACTTGTGAATTTTGAAAAATGAAGGGGCATTATATTCAGTAGGACTCCTCTACTCTTTACTCAGTTTGAGGTTCATTGGACCTCTGTATTGTCGCACGGACCAATAGAGAAAGTATTAAAAAAATAACTCCCTTTAAAGTAGAAATTTTGTTTAACAATAGTAATGGGAATATTCTTCAATTTTAACACAGATCTCTCACAAGTCAAGAGATAAACACTGCTACAGTGACTCTACGTTGTTCCCCACATATCAAGAGGAGTCTAGAACCATTAACCATTTCTACTCCAGAAGCAAAAGTTACCTAAAGATACAGCCAATATTCCACACTCTGAAATGTGGGGAGCATGAGAGCCCCACAGTGCACTACATACTGACTCCAGAAGGGGTTAGAAACATGAGCCATGCTGTGTTCCATCACCTGGTGAGTATACAGATTTCCTTGGTTTTACCTCCTATCATTCCCAGACTTTAAATGAATACTTAATAGGCACAACACAGTTGCATGGAGAATACAAAAAAGTGAAGTTTGTGAGCAGTGAAGGCTAATTTATTATCATATAATTTATTTTGTTATTATATAATAATAATAATAATTATGTGACGGAAGTGTAAGTGAGACAGAACACACGCGGAGAGCAGTGGGCACACAAGGTTTATATTGAGGGATTTGGGGCACTTGATCAGTGCAACAAGGGTTAAGTCCGGGGCACACAGCAGAGGGACAGTTCAGGCAGGTAATGGGTAAAGTCCAGGCTACAACAGGACAGTTCAGACAGACAATGGGTAGGTCCGGACACGCAGCAGAGGGGCAGTTCAGGCAAAGGTAATCCAGGCACAGCAGAAGGACAGGCTAGCAGACAAGATAATCTGGGCACAGTAGAGGGGCAGGCTGGCAGGCAATGAGCAATCTGGGCACACAGCAGAGGGGTAGTTCAGCAGAGGGCAGGCCTGCAGGGGCACTCAGCAGCAGGCAGGCGTGCAGGGGCGCTCAGCAGCAGGCAGGCTGGCAGGGTCACTCAGCAGCAGGCAGGCTGGCAGGCAAAGATAATCCGGGTACAGCAGAGGGGCAGGCAAAGATAATCCGGGTGCAACAGAGGGGCAGGCTGGCAAGCAAAGATAATCCAGGTACAGCAGAGGGGCAGTTCAGGCGGGCAACAGGTAAGTCCAGGCACACAGCAGAGGGCTGTTCACAGGGTAGCAGTTCAGGGACTCACCAGCCAGCAGTGGCCTCAGCAGAGGAAGTCTAGGCAGATAGGCGTTACCTACTCACGGGTCTTCAGAGAGCTGTGTGTCTTGGCCACAGCTTCAAGACCACACAGGCATTATAGGACCACAAGTTCCAGCAGTGCACAAAACAAAGCACAGTTCCATGCATCTCCTAGTTAGGGCTCAGCCAGGAGTGGCTCCGAGATCCTGACTCAAGCTCTCCCATTCATAAGAGACAGTATGGCCCTTTCACAGCCACAAAACACCATGCTGTCTGTGCTCCCTGCTGAGATCAATCCCATTTTCCACCCCCTGCGGGGCACAGGAATTCCAAATTATAAACAAAGCAGACAAGCTGACTGTTGGCCACATGTGTTAACAAACCAACACAAAAATAAAAGAATATTTCTGCTGTCCGTCACAACCAATAATAATAATAATAATATTTTGTTCAAATTGGCCATTAGGAATACAGCATCATTAATGGGGTATATGCCCTGACCAAGGAGGATAGGCACAGCCATCCTCCCCTATGGGCTATGTCCATATAATATGTACAGAATTGCTTCCAATGTTTGTAGCGAGTACATGCCAAGGTCTTTCCAGGTCCATTTTTTTTTTTTTACAGGTTTTAAGGGTCAGTACTAATTCTAGATGTTCGTTTCCCAAGCAGATTGTCAGAATACAGGAGGCTTATAGTTACAGTACAGACCCATACAAGAGGAAAAAAGAGATGGTTCATGTTTCTTAAAAGATATCCTTAATCTCCAAAACTAATCAATACACATCCACTACTTAATAGCCCTGTCATCTGTTTTTCACAAAACTGTATTAACAGTGTTTTTCTGGCGCCTTGTAATGCCCTCTATGAGCTCCTGAACCTCACATTTTAATCTTCACTTGCTGTTGTTTGGAATGGGCAATGCATGTTAATTGCAGTTATCTGCACTGCTCTATGCACACTACACATCCCATATTCCAGAGTCCCTAGTCCAGCTCAGGTGCAAGAAAGAGTGGCTATGTTCCTACATAGAGTGGGACCATGAAGAACAAACATAGCCACCCTATAAACGGAAGTCAGATCACAGCAGCAATAAAAAGGAATTTGGAGATTTGAAGGAGGCTGAGAGTAATAGAAAGCACTTTTTGGAGTTAGGAATACACACCTGAATATATTTTATTTTTTAAGCATAGCTTAGTGCCATTTTAAACAATAAATGAGTCGAACTGAACATCCTCTGTACATAATCCTTGTGACGACTGAACATCCTCTGTACATAATTTCCCCTTTTTAATTTTTTACTAACTTTATCAATAAATGCCCAGAAGAGAACAAAATTATTATTGCTGCCCTAAGCGCTGGCCTACAAGTAAATACAGCCATTGGAAAGAAGGTTTTTCATGTTGTTCACTATTTTAAAATATTTACACCTTAAAAGATCCAATTACAACAATTAATGTACAAAAATATTTAAAATAATTATGTTATATGATTTTTTTCTTCCTGTATAGGTAATGTCAAAGGGAAAAATTATTGATACTGGAAATCATAAAGTGGAACTCAATGCAAAACAAGGTAAATACACTATAAAAAAGCTATATGCAGTGTAAGTATAGTGCCTTGGCGGGTGGGAAGTCATGTGAACGGTTCTATGTATTCTGTACGTCCTGTGGAATTTGAAAAAAAAACAAACAAACAATAACCAGACCACATGGGTCATTTTCTCAATTTCAAAAAAATGTCAATATATTTATTGAATGTAACTTTGTATAGAAAATCTAACATAAGATTTATAGAGAAAAATTTGCTTGTCTCTACTGTAGGTCTTTCAAGCAAACCAAACCTAGAAAAAACACAGTGTGTATGCAGGTGCAGTTTACATTCTGCACTGCAGGTGGTGCTGGACCGCAGCGGCAATGCGGAGGGGAGCAGAAGTGGAAGGAGACAGGGTTTCTCTATGCCTTCCGCAGTCACAGAGGACAGTTATCCGGTTGGATGCTCTGGTCCCATGTGACCCGGCAGCTATCTTGAGTCAAGCAGAGTCTATTTAAGGTTTTGGTGTGCTTTATGCGGGTGGCTATCTCAGGGACAGGTTCCCCCTCTGTTATAGACAGTGCTGGCAATAGTGAAAGGTTCTGGAGTAGGGAAAGAGCAGGGAGTACGTCTATGTTCTCAGGAAGCTCCCCCTTTGGGTGGACTAGCCAGGCCGCACTCAGCTTCTTGTGGCAGATGCTGCCAGCATCGTTGAGTTTTCCTACCACCCTTGCTTCACTTACAGTACTGTGAGTGTTCCTGGCTGGGTCAGCCTCCCCACCAGGATTGTTTGTACTGTTTTGTGATGATTTTACAATGCATCACCTTTTGCAATTCGGGACTTTCCCGCTAAATCACGCTGCACCTACACAACAAGTGCACATTTGTCATTCCCACTGCCCATGCTGCCAAACTCTGATGCTGTGAAATCTCCTGTGCTGAAGACAACATTTCCAGAAGTGTAAATCTGGGTCCACCACATTTCCCACTGGTTCCGTCCTGTGACTTATACTGCACTACTACATTCTGCAATGGGTTAGGGTCAAAAGAGATACATCAAAGAGAGCTGCAGGAAACCCTGGAGATTAACACTGAAGAGTCTTTGTCAAGGCAGAATTTAGCAGAAGGTTTCTCAGCACTGGAGTGGGATTTTGTGATGTGGACAACAGGAAAGGTCAGCATATCCTGTCTTCTTTTACAAGAATGGCCTGCTTGAAAATATTTGTAGAAAATAAGGTCATTTTTAAAGTGTTACTTAACCAACAACAGTAAAATCAGTCTATACATGCAGTAAAGCATGCTTCTTATACTCACTGTGGAACCTAAGGGGTTAATCCTCTGCATTGTGTAAAAAAGGCTGTTTGAGCCTGTCTTCTCTGATCCTCCCCTTCTTCTACTGTCCCCAATCCAGCTCTAGGAGTCACTCTACACATGCTCAGTTTGGTATGTATGACTAGAGAGTATTTTTTTCTTTTGGGAGGGTACATGTGATCAACACAGGGTCAGTCAACACTGTCCAGACAGAGGGTCAGGGGTCATGCAGCCTCATAAGACAGTCAGAGGAGACTGAAATACAAGATTACCAGTGCTCAGCCGGACACTGATAGAAGGCACAAGACTGCTCTAACTGCTGACGAGAAAAGGTATTTAGCAGTTTATATTTACTACAATAATTGCATTTCCATGTTGTGTGTGTAACACCCTGCTATAAATGTCTAATGCAGGATGTTGAAGCCAACACAAGAAGGCAGTGTCCTGTAGAACAGTAGCAGCCACATGTTGAAGAATAGCTATGTGGAACTTGTATACTGAATTGCAGGACTTTACTGAGGAACAGTGCACCTGGGAGCTATATTTCTCAGAGGAGTTTGTGTGTGGGCAGAGGCATATACAACTCAAAGCCCGGGAGACTGACCAGGATGTGAAAGTGGAAAGATCAAGAGAGGAGGAAGTGTGCTGATGGCTGGAGTATTGGACCAGACCATGGAGTCAGAGTCAGAGAGGGAGGAGGATCAGAAGGAGTCTGCTGATCTTTAGTCTTTCCATGCTGCCCAGTGAGCCAATCTGCAAGCAGGAACCCAGTTGGGACGCTTAATCAAGACCGGAGAGTCTGTGGGGGCCACCATCTGCAGGGAAAGATAGACCACTAAGACCTGCTGGACAACATTTATAGGGTGAGAGAGTCCCATACACTCACTAACTGAGAGAACATTGACAATTTCATCACATTTGCTATCTACCTGCACATAGTTGCGGACATTACACTTAGTTACCCTAGTTTGTGGCCTAGATCTCCCAGCCTCCACTGTTGGAACACATTTGCATTACAGTCTCATCATCCAAGCTTACCGCAGGACACACAGCTGCAGGCCAGAATACAGCAGTACCAACCGAAACAGCAATTTACCTTTCTCAGTTGAACAGGATTTCTACTACTGTTGCCTGTGGCCCTTGTCACCCAGAGAGAGAGTTGTTCTTGTTTACAGACACCTTTTGCCAACTGTTACACTTTACTATTTCAAATCTGTGCTTGTTAAGTGCTTTCAGACAGAAGTGCAGATTGACAGGGAACCCAAAAAGTACCAAGCAACCCTTAAGGGGGTAGTGCTACATGTGTACTGTGGGAGACTGGATATAGTGAATTCATGGTCATTGGTTTAGTAACACTTTAAGTATAGATTACCTGCAGTGAAAATCACTTTTTAACATAAACTGAGCTTGAACAAATTCTCTCACACCTCCCAGGATACTCTACTGGTTACTAAAGTTGTTAGTCACATTAACAGACCAATAGAGTGGCTTAAGGGGTGGAAGAGGTGGGACAAGCTCAACGTTTTAGTGAAAGTTACATGTCATTCTATATCAGTGGAACCAGAGATATAGAAAACTGAATCTTTATTGTTTTTTTAGACTTTTCCTGTAAAATAAAAATGGGTTGGTCATACACTTCTCAAGTCTACCTATTGTCCTATAATGCGATAGGTGGCCTCACCATCCAATAGTGGAGCTTAGATGATGGTAAGGGGATTCTTACAAGAGAAAAATGTATATCTGCATATAATTTTAGCTGCCTATACTGTATCTCTTGATCTGTTGATAATTTCACCGTGCAATTTTTATTGAACCTTGTACTTTTTGATAATATTCTCAGTTTCAATTGCCTAGGTTTGTGACATGTCAAGCTGACAATGCAGATATAAATGTCATAGTAGGTGAATGCATCAATGGGCTTTAGCCAATTTAAAATCTTGAATCAAATTAATCACATGCTCAGAAGTGCGGCACTCATCCTTTTTTTTTTTATAAAATAGTTTTGAAATAGTTTCTGGCTTTAGATAGAAGCATATGCTAATGTGATTGTTCTGTTCATTGCAGTTTCACATGGACATTTTACATTTAAGCTTCCCGTCAGTGTTAATACAGCACCCTTGGCCAAAGTGCTGGTCTATCTCATTCTGGATGGTAGTGAGGTCATCGCAGACAGCGTCAGCTTCAAAGTAGAAAAGTGCTTTGGAAACAAGGTACAGATAGTTGCATTTATTCTGTTGCCTTATATCTACATAATGTCTTTGTATGTGCTGTGAACTGTACTCGTGATAATAAAATTCTGAAGTTATAATCCTGAATAGTTACAAACCCCTTCAAGTGGGCCTGTATCAATCATCTTTCTACAGCCCCCCACTGTCTTCTCACTCTAAGATCCTAAGCTGTAAGATACTTACCTAACAGTCTCCTTCCAACCACCAGTACAAGAGCATAATCTCTACAGAGTCACATGGCCAATGCTGACTAAATGTTGACTGGCTGTGCATAAGGGTAGTATGGCTAGAGCATGTGTAAATTCCTATATCAAATCAATAAAAAAGGTCTTCAAAGTCCTCTATCCTTCTAATACTGTATATCTACAAAATGCAAGTAACAGGATGAGTAGCAAGTGCATAAAATCAAAAATAAAAGCATGGCTAAGACTCTTCTCCTCAACTCAAATTGTATATAATCTAAAAAAGAAAAGGGACTTACAGTAGGACAGATAGGCACCCATACACAATATTGTTCTCAATCCATATATACTTTTAATGCATATCATAAATCAAAGAAAACACATACAACAAAACACTTAGAGACAATGGTGTGGGACTGAAATGTTCATATGATAATGCATAGTATAACAATGTGAATCCCTTGCTCAACCAATCTCCATTGAAGAAGTCTTAGGTGCTATCAAAACCTTGAAACCTCACAAACGACCCATACGGTCTGAAGGCTTCTTACTATAAGAAATGTTCTTACAATCCACTTGAATTCTGTCATTGACTAGCTGAAAAAAAAGGACCAAGTGGGTTTCATGCCAAACCAACAGGCAGCTGGTAATGTCCACAGAGCCTCCCTTTTGGCTTTCATGGTACACTTTGATACGCTTTTGTGGGCATATTTGCATTATGTCCTTGAGAGATGAGCTTTTGGCCCCAACTTCTTGGATCGGATACTTTCCCTCTGTTTGAAGCCCCAGGCTTACATAAAGTGTGCGAGTTATAGGTCAGATCAGTTTAAAATAGCACATGGAATGAGATAGGGATGCCCCCGTCTCCTCTTCTCTTTGTGTTCACCACAGAGCCCCTGGCAACCCTAATTCACTCTAATACCAATATATGTGACATTGATGTGGAAGGCTATCAACATCAGCTATACTTATTTGCTGACAACATATTCCTTACTGCACCTCTCACCTCGACGCCCAACCTATTTCACCACTTTAGACCAATTCACAACCATCTCCAGTCTAGAAGTGAACTAGCAAATATCTCAGACTACTCCTTCCCTGCCATATATAGGTGGTCCTCTTTCAGGGAGAAAGTCCTGAGTTTTCCTCCTTTCCAACTTCGCAGGCAGGCCCCATCCCACTAGGCCTCCTGGCAGCCTTCCTCCTCCAGCCTCATATCTTTCTGTTCCACACTCCTCTCCCACCACTCTCCTGCTACTGAGCAGGCTCTTCCACTTTTAAAGGGAGTCCCAGCCCATTGCCAAGCCTCCTGTTGGGGATTGGCTGAGGTCCCTGAAGAGTGTAGCCAGCCACTCCTCAGATCCATCCACTGTTCCCAAGGACAATCTACGAAAGCCTCAGAGCATGGAGTAATTCCAGAGGGGCTGGCTTGCAGAGTCTCCCAGTCCTGACCAGAATTTGACCACTCTGGCTATCTCACCTGAGCTCCTAATCATAATCAGCTCCTCACTAACCATCAGGGTCTAGTTCCCTGTAGGTAAACTAGGAGGGTGCTACACAAGTTTTGGCTGCTGGAAAACATAATGAAAAAAAGGATAAAAAACTCACTGTCCATATGTCTTTGTGCAATAATTTAATTGTCCCTTAAACAGTGCAAAGACGGTGTCTTTGTACTGTTTAACTGCTTACCCACCACCCTATAGCAGAAATACTGCTACAGGGCAGCATGGCTGCGCAAAATCATATATATATATATATATATATATATATATGTATGTGTGTGTGATCTTGCATTTTGGGGTCGCCATTAGTGGCCTCACCTGTCGATCACCGGATCCCGGTCGGTGATTCCCCACCGACACTCGTCAATCGCCGAGTATCACTGGCAGGGGAGAGGTCTGTATGTAAACAATACAGATCTCTTCCCTGTAAGCTCCTGCACACTGCTTTGTATTGCTATGCATAGCAGAACAATACAAAGCAATGTGCTGACACAGTACAACAGGTGCACAATAGTAAAACAGCACACAGTTAATCCTTTGATCGACCCAGATGTTAACCCCTTCCTGCCCAGTGTCATTAGTACAGTGTCAGAGCTTTTTATTAGCACTGATCACTGTATTAGTGTCACTGGGGATGTCAGTGACAGTTTTTCAGTTCCACCCATTGTCAGAATGCTCACCGAAGTCCCACTATAAGTCGCTGATCGCCGCCATTCCTAGTAAAAATATAAACTTTCACGTAATATATATATATAACTTTCATGTAAACCAATTAATTTACAATATTGGGATTTTGTTTTAGCAAAGACATGTAGCAGAATACATTTTGGCCTAAATTTATGACGAAATTTGATTTAAATTTTTTTGCTGGACATGTTTAACCATTTGCCGCCCACCCTATGGCCGAATGGCGGCCGGCAAATGTCATCAGAGTTCCGGGTGGACGCCATATGGCGTCCTCCCGCACATGCGCAGATTGCGCTCCTGCAGAGCCGCGCGATCTGTCACTGGCCGTGTACCTCGGACACGGCCAATGACAGATCTGAGTATCGGCCCCCGTTGCCGGTACCATGTGACCTGCTGTGACCAATCACAGCAGGTCACATGACAGTTGTATACAATGGATGGCTTCATTCATGCCATCCATTGTATACTAGTGTCTAGCTGTGAATGGTCACAGCTAATCACATGCACATGTCATGTGATTAGCTGTGGCCAAATCACAGCTAAGCACAAAAAAAAAAAAAAAAAACCCTGAATGAATCGATGTCATTCAGGTAAATGCTTGCTTATAGCAAAGTAATTCTTTACTATAAGCAAATTGTGTAATAAAAAAAAAAAAAAAAAAAAAAGATACTGATCACTTCCCCAAAGTAGTACAATGTTACTATGGTAACATTGTACTACTTTGGTCATAGTGAAATATGAAAAAAAATCTTAACAAAAAAAAAAAAAATGTAATAAAAAAAAAAAAAAAAAAAAAATATATATATATATATATATATATATATATATATATATATATATATAATTTTTTTTTTTTTTTTTTTTTTTTCATACTGTCACCAGTTTTATGATGACGCTGTACTGCACTGGTGACAATATGTAAAAAAAAAAAAAAAAAATAGTGAAACTAATTTTTTAAATTTTTTTCCAAAAAATGATGACAAAAAAAAAAACAACTTCAAAAAACTCGCCATGCCTCTTATGAAGTACGTCGGACTGTCTACTTTGCAAAAAGGGGTCATTTGGGGGATATCTGTACTGTTCTGACATTCTTGGACCTCAAGAAATTAGATTGGCTGTCAGTACTTCAAGATTGATCAATAATCAGATCTATACCATAGTTTGTGAACTCTATAACTTTCCTACAAACTAAAAAATACATCCTAGTTTGGGTTATTTTCACCAAAGACATGTAGCAGAATACATCTTGGCCTAAATTTATGAAGAACAATGATTTGCAAACTTTTTTAACAGAAACAAAGAAAAACGTGTGTTTTTTCAAAATTTTTGGTCTTTTTTTGTTAATTTAGCAAAAAATAAAAACCCCAGTGGTGATTAAATACCACCAAAAGAAATCTCTAGTTGTGTGAAGAAAATGATAAACTTTTAGTTTGGGTACAATGTTGCATGACCGCGAAATTGTCAAAGTGTGAGAGCGCTGAAACCTGAAAACTGACCTGGGCAGGAAGATGTAAAATTGCCCAGTATTGAATTGGTTAATAGCAATAGGTCAAAAATATAGTTTTCTTAAAATTGTTGGCCTTTTTTTTTTGTTTATAGTGCAAAAAATAAAAAAACACAGAGGCGGTCAAATACCACAGAAATCTCTATTTGTAGGAAAAAAGGACATAAATTTAATTTGGGTGCAGTGTTGCATGACCGCGCAGTTCTCAGTTAAAGTAACGCAGAGCTGTATCGCAAAAAATGGTCTGGTCAGGAAGGGGGGTAAATCCTCTGGTGGGCAAGTGGTTAACGCCTGTTTTATGAAGAATTCTTTGTTATATGGACATTTCTGATGCTCATGCTATTGTAGCACTACCCTTTCAGGAGCCGCTGAGTATTCTGCTGACACCACCAAAATATCTTCGCCAGGTGACTCCCTGGCTGTCACAAAAAGGATAAACACGTACACACCGGTGAGGTAAATGTTTAACTTGTATTAATGTCACAGAAATGAAAAAACAGGCAAAGGAAAACAATTGGTCAAGTTTTCAGAATGGCAAAACACCCTCACAAAAATGCAATACAATACAGTACTGCTTTAAGCCACTTCCACCCATCCTGCAAGACTGAACATTTAAATGTGAGCTCCCACATTGAGAAATTTTCCCCAAGTGAAGGAATAAGATGAGAAGGGAGGAACAAACAGCTCAGCTCACTTGTGGGCTCACAGTGAGAAGAGTCAGGGTTAAATTCTCAGAAGTCTAGGCAAGCAAATTGTTGCAGAAACCCCCCCTAACACATTAGAACTCTTCTGTCGGCCAGTTGGGGCCTTTATGCTAGTGCTCTATAGTGATGTAGTCTCTTTGAAGAAAACAGATGTACCCAAGAGATGGTAAAACAGCTGACAAAGTTCCCCTTTAATAAGCACGGGTGTGATGAAGAATCACTTTAAAGCTATCAGATGGTAACAGAGATTTCTCTGGAATAGAAGGGAAGCAGATCTTTGGCTGAAATATGTCCTTTTAAACGGAAACCAGAACTTGAACAACTGATTTTGTCGTTGGATGGCTCAAGTCTGAAGTGGGGTGGGTGTAGAATTCATGCCTCACATGGAAGCAAAGAGGTGAATCCTGCTCTCTTACAGGCAGTGTTGATAAAAACAGTAAGTAGGTTAGACTACAGCCCTGGATGGGTAGCATCTGTGCCTAAACATATAGGCCTGTAACTGTTCTGGACTCTAGCACTAAATGCAACAACAAAGTTGAAGGTAATAGCAGCATTTTTGGGATAAGAACCCTCTCACCCAGTCTCACAGCTCCGTTGGGAGGGGGGTTCGCTTTTCTGGTCTTCCCATAAGACTGTGTAGCTGGCAATGGCCCAATCCACCTGCGCACAGGTTCCGCTAAACCTCTCTACACAGGAGCATCAGCATTCTCCCTCTATGACAGTTCTTCAACCTTCCGGCTCCTTGATATGGACTGGCCCTGCATGGATCCACTCTGCTCACTCATGTTTGGCCTCCAACATTGTCTCTTCCATCCACCTCCTTGTGTTCCCAGGCTTTTTTATCTTCTTAAATGCACCTGCCCCTTTGCCAGTCCTCTTGGGCAGCATAGTCCAGCCCCAGCTAATCTGAATGAAAGAATCCTGCTTACAGCATACAAGTCCCAGAGTCCCCAGCATTTTTGTATGGGTTGTGTGGTAACAAAGTTGCAGAACACTGCCATTTTGTGAACAATTAAAGTTCTGCATAACAGTAATATAGCACAGTGTTACACTATCATTCATCTGTTAACCTGTACACTGCCTCATTATCGTAAGAGGTTCAGACGCCATCAGACGTTTTGCTTGCATACTTTGGGCTCATGTGGTGAAGAACCTAGCAGACAAAGGAGCATTTTGAGCTGGGATTAGAAATTAATTTAAGATTTCCTAAATTGAGTTAATTTATGCTTCATTTGTAAAGCTTGTGTTATCTTTTTCTTGATCCAGGTGAAGATTTCATTATCTGATAATCAAGTTCTGCCAGGTGCAAACACCAATCTTGTCCTCTCCTCTCTGCCAAACTCCCTGTGTGCACTACGGGCTGTTGATTCCAGTGTATTGTTGCTGAAACCAGAAGCTGAACTGTCTGCAAATACGGTATGATGTACAGAAAATTCAAACACTCCAGTGCTTAGACAGTACTACATCCAATGGTGTTACCGTAATGCTTCGCCCAATGCAGCCCTCCTTAGATTGGGAAATCTTCAATAAACTTTAAACTCACAGGTTGGCTCAAACGCCTAGTGCATTACCACCTTAATGATTATTGGATCCAAAAAAGACAATTATACATTCAGAGAAATAACAGGGAACAAGTGTTTCAAATCACAACTTCAGCCGTGAGGCAATAGCGTCTAACCAGGGGCGGACTGACCATTTGGAAACTCGGGCACTGCCCGAGGGCCCGGGGTCAGTAGGGGGCCCCATGAGATGCCCCTGGTACCTTTTTCATAGGCTTTTTTGAGTTTGGGCAAGGACACAGGGGCCCCATGATCCCCTATTGCCCGGGGGCCCCATGAGTTGTCAGTCCGCCCCTGCGTCTAACCATGTATGACACAGTTGGAAAGCTGATGTGTCCCCTGTGGGGACATGCCCAGTCTTTCAGAGCTCTGAAGAAGGGAACACATTAACTGAAACGCGTCAACTTTCCAACTGTGTCATGCATGGTTAGACGCCATCGCCTCACGGCTGGAGTTGTGATTTGAAACGCTTGTCCCTAATTATGTTTGTGAGTATATAGTTGTCCTTTTGGATCCAATAACTCTTTATGGTGGTAATGCACTAAGCATTTGTGCATTTGTGTGTTTTTAACAGGAAAGCTGCAGCTCATCCCCTCCTGGGAGGGGATAGAGCTGCAGCCTTCCTGTCACTTTTGCAATTGAGCGGCTTTCAGTGCATGCTTTCATCTTTTTTCTGCTCAGTGGGGACACAGATGACAATAAAAAGAAGCAAACGTGAAAATCAAGTACTTAAGATTCTTTGTGTTTTTCCCTATTCAGGTGTATGACCTGCTGCAAGTTACAGACCTTTCAGGCTACTACCATGAGGGATTAAACTTAGAGGAGCCACGTGAAGATCCCTGCCTGCAAGTGGAGCCCATCTTTTTAAATGGAGTATATTACAATCCATCTGTCCCTACATGGGACGCTGACACCTACAAAATCATGAAGGTCCGCTACTCCCCTAAACTGATCAAAACTAGCAACACAATCTGAGAGTGCTATTACAAGCTTGCTCACACCATGTCTGTTGATCTGCATAGATCAATGCAGGCTAAATTTTCAAGGACATATAGAAAATAATTGTTTTCTAGATGTCCTGTTCTCACCATATATGTGCAGTGGTGTGTACTGCATAAAGAAGAAACATGTATACCTTGTTATGCAGTGCAACCCAAGGAACTGCATGTCACAATGAGCTGCAATGCATTGAGTTGAATTAAGGTGTCATTTTGTGACCCCCTTCCCTCCCAGCCCCAGCATCCCTTTAATAGGTCCTGTACAACTAGGGGGAGGGAAGGATCAGCCAATCATATGGCCACTGTGATTGGCTGGAACAGTTATCATATGATCACCAGCTCCCGATGAGTAGTACAGATGAGTGCTGTCTTCGACAGCTCGGTCTCTGTGCTGGGAGCACTCAGTGACTGCGCTCTCAGCTCAGAAAGCTATGGTGCCCATTGACCCATATAACCAGTGTGCCCATCCTCTTTACCGCCACACATTTGTGTTGTGTGGGGGCAAGAAGTTATATAAAATGAAAAAAAAAGAAAAATTAAACAGTGCAATGTGTTATACCAATGGTTCACACCACCCCTCAGCAGTGCATTTTTTTTGATCACGATTAAATGGTTAAATAGAGCACAACTTCATTGTATTCACTAAGCTAGGAATGCATTCACTATAGCAAAAGTAAGACTTACCATTTTGTTTACAAGGCAATAACAAAGTCAATTGTGTAGGCTGCCTGATAGATTACAGCAGCACATGGTCCTTCCTTCTGCTCACAGTAAATATGAAAGCATCTGCAGGTTTCTCTGAGATCTATAAAGTGGAAAATCTGAGCAAAATCAAGCATTTCCATCATCAGAAAAGCTTGTTTTGAGCTTCTTAGAAGTATCCCTACCCAGTTAAATTCTTGAATTATCCCTAACCAGTTCAGTCACTGAAGTATCCCTAACCGGTTTAGTTCTTGAAGTATCCCTAACCTGTTCAGTCCTTACCCAAGAACTGCTTCTTTGCTGTCAGATTTGGATAGGATCATGTCAGTCATGATTCTCTTTAATGACTTAAATAATGGGCAGCACAGTGGCTAAATGGTTAGCACTTCCGCCTGGCAGTACTAGGTTCGTTGGTTTGAATCCCAACCATGGCACCACCTGCCTGGAGTTTGCATGTTCTCCCTGTGCCTGCGTGGGTTTCCTCCCACACTCCAAAGACATGTTGGTAGGTTAATTGGCTCCTGTCTAAATTGGCCCTAATATGTGTATGTATGAATGTGTGTTAGGGACCTTAGATTGTATGCCCCTTGAGGGTTAGGGACTGATGTGAATGTACAATATATGTGTAAAGCGCTGCGTAAATTGACGGCACTATATAAGTACCTGTAATAAATAAATCAGGTACCTTTTTTTAATAATGTCTCAGAAAAAAAAAAAATGTTCTGTCAGGTAATTTAGCTTTACAAAAATGTTCTACATTTTCCATTACCTATACCGACATCTTTCATTAATACCAGTACATTGCTTTGATCTTTGTCCTTCTTATACCACTGTGTAAATCTGTTTCTCTCCACACAGGATCTTGGGCTGAAGGTTGCCACAAACACCATCATCAGGATTCCAGTACTATGTGGGAACCGGGCTACTGGTTTTTCCTATAGTAGCCCCGTTGGAGGATTAGGTACATCCAGAGAAACAGACATTATATGTATGTTAATCATGTTTAGGAATGCGCTTTCCATATGTTTTAAAGTCTAGATTAATCAAGTTTTTTTTTTGTTTTGGACACTAGGTAGGAAGAAACCGTAAATTTTTTTATTGACAGCTAAGGAAAGTGGACCAGTAAGATTATCTTATTGATATTGCTATCCTAAGCCTAGTACACACGATCAGAAAGTCATACGGAAAATACCAATTTCAAATCGATCACACAATAATCTGATTGTTAGCATATAGCTTTTGTCCAAAATTAATCAAAGGGAGAAGCGCGAACATTTATCTCGTATGATACCAAATGGTACGATTTTTGTTTAACCACTTGCCAAACGCGCTATAGTCGAATGGAGGCTACAGTGCAGTTGTCCAGTTCTGGGAAGGAGTCATATGACGTCCTCCCAGAAAGCGCCCTCCCCGCGCGCCCCCCGGGGTGCAGCCAGCGATCTCCATGATCACTGTGTCCTACGGACACAGCTGATCACGTGGTAAAAGGCCGCTGTGATTGGCCTTTTAACACATGATCAGCTGTGTCCAATGACACAGCAGATCAGTGGGTAAATGCAGTTTCCGGTTATCGGCTGCACTTTCCTCAGTGTGAGGACAGTACTGCCGATAACCTGCAATTGTCAGAGGATGGATCGGCACCGATCATCAGGGCACTTATGATCAGTGCCCTGATGATCAGTGCCCAGCAGTGCCACCCACCTGTGCCCAGCAGTACTGCTCACAAGTGCCTAGCAGTGCCCAGCAGTCCCACCCACCTGTGCCCATCAGTGCCTAGTAGTGCCACCCCCCTGTGCCCAGCAGTGCCACCCATCAGTGCCCAGCAGTGCCACCAGTCAGTGCCACCCATCAGAGCCCATAAGTGCTGCCCATCAGTGCCGCCTATCAGTGGCCATCATTGTTGCATATCAGTGCAGCATCATCAGTGCCGCCTATCAGTGCTGCCTATCCATGCCACCTCATCAGTGCTGCCTATCAGTGCAGTCTCATCAACACACATCAGTTAAGGAGAAAAATTACCTGTTTGCAAAATGTTTTTTTTTTCTAATTTTTTGCTCTTTTTTGTTTATAGCGTAAAAAATAAAACACCCAGTGGCGAGTAAATACCACTAAAAGAAAGCTCTATTTGTGTGAAAAAAATTATAAAAATTTCAAATGGGTACAGTGTTGCATGACCGCACAATTGTCATTCAAAGTGCGATAGTGCTGAAAGTTGAAAATTGGCCAGGGCAGGAAGGGGGTATAAGTGCCCAGTAGGCAAGTGGTTTAATCAGTACAGTTTCATCCAAAAATACAATACAAATACATCAAATCACTACAATTTTTATTCTGTCATACAAGAATTTTTGTAACTTTAGTAACCTCAAATACAACAGGCCATCAAATGCTCAATGAACCATAAAACCCCAGGATCAGATGGTTATCCAACTGACTTTTACAAGCTCCTATCTGCAGAAATATCCCCAGTACTCATGGATCTTTATAACTCAATCCTTGACCATAATACCCCCTTTCCAGAGTTTAATGAGGCATACACAACCTTAATTTTAAAATTATTAGCTAAAATCATGGCAGATCGTATCCAAACCCACATCGTTTACCCCTCTCCAGTTGGACTTCCTTCGCAATAAACATTCTACTATAGGCATCAGAACTGCAATTTCAGCTACAGTCCAGGCTAAACGACATCCCTCTTCTCTCCCTCCCTTGCTACTCTTGAAGCTTGATGCAGAGGAGGCTTTTGACAAAATTGACTGGTAACTCCTGAATCACATTCTTTCTACTAGGGCTTTTGGACACGTCTTTTCTTCCTTCATACAATATATTTATCATAACCCATGTACCAAGCTTATTATCTATAACCAACTTTCTTCTCCAATATCAATGTCCCGAGGCACCAGGCAAGGATGCCCTCTTTCCCCATTCTTTTTAACCTCGCGCTGGACCCCCTCCTTCTCCTTCTAGAATCCCAAAAACTACTTTCCAAGCTATAACTACAGGCCATAAAACTATTAAAGTCACTATTTTTGCGGACTACCTGCTCCTATACATTTCCCACCCAGAGTCCTCTCTTCCCAGCATAATGTCTCTAATTAAATCATTTGGTCTAATCTCAGGTTACTCCATCAATTTGGATACATCAAAGGCACTCTATTTAACTAACCGTCACAAGCCCCCTTGGAGCAATCTCTACCCTTGTCACGGTGTAAGGTCAGGTTCAGAGACCAGTTGCTATAGCAGTAAAAGGCTTACCTGGAACCAGCAGGATAGGTACACCAGCGGATCCCCCTGGGAATGACGCAGGCTCACCTGAGGTGCGGGGTCTAAGTATTAACCGGTATTCACCAGAGCTCCTAATGGTGGAGATGGATTGGGCTGCGTGTTAATACCAGGTCGCAGATCTCAGGATCACCCCACCAGGGAATGAGCAGACTGGGAACCAATAGCGGATCAACAGGTTAGGGATCAGACGAAAGCAGAGTCGGTCACAAGCCAAGGGTCGGTCACAAATGGTAGCAGATCAATCGTGGTCAGGAACAAGCCAAAGGTCAGTAGCGGAGGTGTAGACAGCAGCAGGACCAGTAGCAGGATATTGGCTGGAAAGGCACAATAATCTGGCAAGGAGGAAGTCCAAGGACATGGCTTATATAGGAAGTTCATGGGAGGAGTTCAAGGTTCAAGAGCAAACAAGGCACAAGGCAGGATTATCCAATAGATGAGGCAAAGTGTTGTCCAGCATCCTAGGTAGCTCAGTGAGTAGAGTTACTGCCTGACACAGTAGAAGTCCCAGGTTCAAGTCCAGGCCCTGACAGTACTCCCCTCCTCCCAGGACGTCCTCTGGACGTCTTAGGACTAGGCTTGTGTGGAAACCTCTGGTGGAATTCTCGTTAGTCTAGGAGCATGAACATTCTCCTCAGGCTCCCAAGAATTTTCTTCTGGTCCATATCCTTCCCATTGAACCAGATACTGTAACTTATTCCTAAAGATCCTGGAATCAAGGATTTTCTCCACCACAAATTCTTCTTCACCCTGTACCTCAACAGGTGGAGGAGGTGGAAAAATTCTTCCAGGGAAAGGATTTTCCTGAAACGGTTTGAGTAGTGATATATGAAAAAACAGGGTGAATCCTCATACTATCCGGAAGCTGTAAGCGAAAGGTGACTGGGTTGATTTGGGCAGAAATCTGAAAAGGACCCACAAACTTTTGACCCAACTTAGCAGATGGCACCTGGACCTTCAAATTCTGTTGATAACCAAACTTTTTCACCCACATGAAACGTAGGAAGAGTTCTCCGGTGTCTGTCTGCAGTCTTTTTGTAATACTCCTGAGCTTCCCTCAAAGTCTCAATCAATTTCTCTTGAATCTCCTGCAATGTAGTTAGTCTATTGGTAACAGCAGGAGGATTGGAGTTGTGATAGGGAGATCAGGAATAAAAACTGGATGGTAACCGGCGTTTAAGTAAAAAGGACTTTGAGAGGTGGAACTATGTTTAGAATTGTTGTATGCAAACTCTGCAGTGGGAAGACAGTCCACCCAGTCATCCTGAAGATAAGTGACAAAGCATCGAAGATACTGTTCCATTGTTTGATTAGTTCTCTCAGTCTGACCATTAGACTGGGGATGAAAAGCAGAGGACAGATTAATTGTAACACCTAAGGCTGAGCAAAAACTTCTCCAGAATTTCGAAGTAAACTGCACACCTCTGTCAGACACCACATCATCAGGGATTCCATGTAGTTTAAAGATTTCTCGAACCATCAGTTCAGCAGTCTGTTCAGCAGTGGGCACCCCCTTAACTGGAACAAAATGGGCCATTTTAGTGAGACAGTCAACCACTACCAAAATGGTGGTCATTCCTTTTGAGGGAGGTAAATCCACCACAAAATCCATAGAAATAGACCCCCATGGTCTTGATGGAACAGGGAGTGGCTGAAGCAACCCCAAAGGGGAGGCTCGGGGAATCTTATTGCGTGCACAGGTCAAGCATGAGGTCACATAGCGTTTGACATCTTTCTTGTACCCCGGCCACCAAAAGGAACGTGATAATAGTTCTTCGGTCTTAGCGACTCCAAAATGCCCAGCAAGTTTGGAATCATGAACCAACTTGAGAGCTTCCACCCGAACAGATTCAGGTACATAAAGATGATGTCCTTGAATCCAAAAGCCATTCTTATAAGTCAGGTTAATGTCCGTAGGTGGATGATTGAGAAGTGGGTCATTCTCATACCCTCTCTTTAAGAAGATTCAAGAATGCCTTAGGACTTGTGGCCCCTAGAAAGTTCTTTTGAGGCAGGATTGTGCATTCAGAAGTGTTTCCTGGAGAGGCCCAGACGACATTCGTGATAAGGCATCAGCCTTTCTGTTTCTTGACCCAGGTCGATATGAGATAATAAAATTGAACCTGGAAAAGAACAGTGACCAACGTGCTTGTCTAGAAGACAATCTCTTGGCAGAACGGATGAATTCTAGATTTTTATGATCCATGAAGACAGTCACAGGATGCTTAGCCCCTTCCAACAGATGCCTCCATTCGGAAAAGGCTTCCCTAATTGCCAGCAACTCCTTATTCCCAATGTCATAATTCCTTTCAGCAGATGACATCAAACGAGAAAAATAAGCACAGGGATGAAGCTGCATTTTTTCTCCTCGTCGCTGAGAAATGATAGCTCCCACGGCGGAGTCTGAGGCATCCACTTCCACAATAAAAGGTAGCTCAGGATCAGGATGTACCAATATTGGTGCAGATGTGAAGAGTCTTTAGCTTACTAAAAGCAGTTTGTGCCTCAGTTGACCATGCAAAGGGCACTCCTTTCTTTGTCAGCTGTGTAATTGGTGCTATTACCTTAGAGAAGTTTCTTATGAATTTCCTGTAAAAGTTTGCAAATCCAATAAATCGTATTTCCTTAACGTTTCCAGGGGCAGTCCAATCCACCACTGCCTTGATCTTTTCAGGATCCATGCTCACTCCTTCTGAAGAAACGATATAT